TCTGTGGTTTGAAGAGCATGGAAGGATGGTTGGTATCGGTACGGTATACCGCCGAATAAGCTAGTTTAGCCTTTTTTCTCATCGCCCACATTAGGTGCTTCCTCTCAAAGCTGAACCTCGGCGTAACCGTTTGCTCTGGTGTAGATAAAGAATTCTATGGGGCCTCGAATGGAATCAGGTCGTCTTTAGTCACAAGTCCCGCTTCTGTCTGGGGATGCACGATGGTCGGGCAAGAGTGAGAAGGCGACACGGTGAAAGACCCACAATTTAACAGAGAGTGTCACGTTCACCACACCGTGAGAGTTATGCTTATGGTAGCAGATCACAACTGATTTTCAACAGAGGCAATATAGCCTGACGCTATATTCATGAAGTAGTGGAGCCTCATCTTATTCCTTACCTAAACACCATCCAAAACCCGATTTTTCAGCAAGACAATGCCAGTCCGCATGTTGCGATCGCATCAACCGTTTACCTTGGCCACCACGATCGCCTGACCTATCTCCAATTGAACATGTCTGGGACATGATAGGTCGTGGGTCTTTTGAATTTGCCACACCCTCCACAGACTTTAGCAGCTCTTACTGACGAAATTGCAGTAGCCTGGAATGAGATATCCCAACAGGATATCGTCCACCTTATCTGCACGTTGCCCAGGCGTGTCAGTGAGTGTATAAGAAATCGTGGATCCTCAACACATTATTGAGCCAGCTTCTGCAGCCAGTTGACGAATCAAGCTGGAAATTTAATCATTTTACTAGTAAGGGACACTGAGGTATATGCCAAAAATTATTAAAATCGGATAAGCATACTGATGATATGACGATAACAGTTCACGGACAGAATCCTCAAAAGCTTCAACATAAAGTGGCCCATGTTGTTGATGGATTTAGTGGCGGGTGTCAACGTAAAAGGCTGATACTGAATGAAGGCAAAACCGTCATAATGAACTACTCCATTCAAAAACATATACCTAATGACTTTCCTATACTTCCTGGTACTAAGGCTTCGAACTGCACAAAGCTCTTGGGTACTTACTTTGACTCAAAACTATCTTTTTCTGACCATATTGAAACTGTGTGCCAAAAACTTAATAAGGCATTCATCGCCTTATTACAACTAAAAGACACCTTAGACGAGAAAGGACTAATGACGGTATATTATGCATTAGCGTACTCACACATAAGCTATAATATCATGGCATGGGGCAACAGTGCTGATAAAGACAGAGTATTTGTAGGACAAAAACGACTAATATGCCTAATTTTCAATATACCGCCTGGAAATGCATATAGAACGACATATAAATCTAATAAGATTTTAGCTGCACCTTGTGTTTACTTTAATAAGTGTCTTTTATACGTTTGGAAAATCATGTACCAGTTCGAGAGTTTAGGGCAGTACCGCACATATAACACTAACATTAACTGTCCTCAAACACAACACCAGTCGCTTTCAGCGCTCACCTCATTACAACTGTGTAATATTTTATAATAAGCTGCCTCAGCATCTTAAAAATATAAGAACATACAAAAATTTTAAATATGAAGTGAAATCGTCTTTATCAGGTGAAGGGTTTTATGCGATTAGTGAATTTTTAGAACACAAGTACAAACAATATAATTAAATATCAGTTACCTAATATTTGTGCATGTCTTAGCATGTTAAAGCTACTTTCTATCAATAAGGTTTTTGCTGTGATGTTTTATTTTTTTATTTATTTGCTTATTTATTATTTTTTCTTTGTAATGACCTGCCATATATACTTATGTATCAACATGGTCAATAAATACTACTAGTACTACTACTACTAGGTGTTTACCTTTTTTTGCCAAACAAAAAAAATGATTCTTGTGAATATGAGACCAAGCCAAAATAAGTATGTCTGAGCTTAGACAGACACAAGTTCGCGCACAAAGGTATATTAAATTTGTATACATGTGTGAGGGAGACGGATGTATAAAAGTGATGCCAGTAGTTTTAGTGATACCAGCCAAAAACTGTGAAATGAACTAATACATATGTTTCAAACCTCACCATAGTGAACCGCCACTGACATTTCGGATTACAAACTAGTAAATGAACGCACAAAACTGCTCACTAACGAGCATCGCTATCGGCTCAAACACAAAAAGCGGCTTTTTACGACTCGTACGCCGGCCGTTTGACCTGTTTTCTGCCAGCATTCAATGTAATGGTATCAAAGTACAGCTTCCATGTTTTTTTTTCGGTCGGAGCTTTGAAGAGGTCAGTTTTGTCGGAATTTGGGATTATCCATCAACTTTACTTCTATAAAATCAGATTTGTTGTTTTGAAACATCCAGTAGTTACTTCGTACGAAATTAAATGATAAACGTCCGAAATAAATTTCTATCGTTGGCGTTGCGTGCACGACACGCTACTGCATCATCGTGGAGGCCACTGCCGACTGTGCAATGCGCAACAAACTCGAGCTGGCGAATTCTCGGTGGTGTTGTCACTGACAGACCACTTTAGCGTTCTGCGATGCCTTTGTGAATGATGAATTGAATGTTTTCATATCTATGTTTCTGATTTTTATGACCCCATTTCGCTTAAACTTCCACCATTTGTGTTACTCTGTTTATGATAATTCTCTGAATATTTCGTTAAATACATTCATTCGGTATTTGTGAGGCATTGATATACAGCAGACACGAACTGATATAAACCAGAAACACGGACTTGAATGATGCAGATATCGTTAAGCATCAGATTACTTGTGAATGTAAAATCGCGAGTTCAATGCTTTTATCGTTTAGGTAGACATAGACTCTGAAGAGCCGAAATGAAATCGTACATAGTTTTACAACATCTCAAGTGTTGCATATTTCATGTCAGTGAAAGACCTTCTATTATTAAGAAGCTGCTGATGAACTCTTTTTGTGCACTTGTTAGACATAATGAGTCACTCATATTTCCCTACATCTGTCTTGGATAAACTTGCTTTATATAGGTTTGATATGCTGAGGTCAGAGATTCATCATACCAAAGTGAACCCACCTAATCAAGAGTTGGTTTCGCCTTTTGAACTCATCTTGCATCAAAAAGGCGAGCTCATGGGTTGCCAAAGTTGAGCGTATACACTGCATCCCATATAGATAACTCAACGGATAAATAATTATTATTATGCCATATATCAGGTTTTTGTTGAAGGGTCGCTAGTCCTCGGTCCGTTTAATATCCGTATGAACAATAGGCAGCTTAAGGCAGCAGCGGTGGCCGCAATAGTCTTCGGTCTCCTGATCAGTCGCCGTGCGCTGTGCGGGTTAGAATCCCGTCTCAGGAGATATTTTTCTCTTGGATATGGATGTTGTGATTGTCCGTAGGTGGTAAACGGTCTCTGACTGTCGAACGCGGAAGTACCACCCGGCGGATCTCGTAGGCGGAGCCAGAATGTGTGCATGTTGCATGCACACCCGTTTCCTCGCCAGAGTCTGTGTGGCGTTCCCTCTTTCCCCTGTATCCCTCTATAACACCACGGTACCCAATGGGTGTTTAGGCCTTAGGCCTTCATGGTAGTTGGAGTATAAAAAAATCTCATTTAGCTCCAAAGTGTCATTTAATAATAAGACAACGCAAAGCGCCATCTATCACACCGGAATCGGCCACTGCGATAAGCGCAAGGCGCGTTTAATAGCAAAGTCGCTAGATGGCTGACGTGAGGTTCCCTGTGGATCGCTGGTACCGGAAACCAGACTGCCTGTCGCTAATCGCCGTGAAGTTCGAGATAGTCCAGAAGCTCGCGAGTTATGCACATCTCCATCACCTTACTTATAACAGAAAGAAGAGCTATAGGCCTGTAGTTGTAAGGGTCGGTCGTAGATCCATCTTTTGAGGTGGGTTGGACATGAGCAAATTCCCAGTTTTCTGGAGCTGCACACCTCTTCATTGCAACGGTAGGGATGAAGACAAGACAAGTGACAAGAGGTCTTATGCCTAAGGATACTTTCCGCATAGTATAGGGAACCCTTTTGAATTGAATTAACTTCGTGTGCCCATCACAACCGATATCATCCAGTGGCACTCATCTTTGACAAAACACTCCTGGGACGCGGCCGGCAGCTTTCTGACCATTACGTGCGGCTTCTAACCCTCTCCACCCCCCACCACACCGCATTAGGAGTAATGTGTTTTCCAACCCCTGGGAGCTTAGGCGGTCAATTTATTTAATTGTTTTTGCTAACTGACAGAGCGACCGCAAACTCATTAAACTGTATGTTAGCCGGTGCGCCGGCGGTAAGTTATGCAAGGGGCTTTATCAAAATGAATAATATAGAAAGTTTGTGTATGGAAACGTCATGCCACCTATCTTCTAATGCATGCTCGGTGTGGGGTGAGATGGTTCAGATTTGCGCGAGTAGATTGCTAACGACTGTGGGGACCCTAGACTAGCCACTGTACTAGATCAGGCGCATTTGTGGTAACTGACTATAAAAGCTGTCCGGCACGTAATGTCGTTGTAGCTTTAGGTAGGGAATATACAGGGTTATCGAAACGGTGGTCTAGTCAGGACATCTTTTTTTTTGAATAAAACATGTTTGTCACTTATGACCGATTTTACTATCCGAGGCGCAAAATTCGTTCAATTAAAAGGCGCATTTAGAGTACTGGATATTATGAATATAGTCGATTTCCCGTATAATTTCTCTCAATATAGAGAAAAATTATACGATTTGTGCTAGATAGGCCCCTAATTCTCATATTGAATCAAAAAGTCCTTCATATATTATCAACATGCTACAAGAACGTATTTTTGTTTATTTGATGCAGGGCTCAAGATTTTCAGCTAGGGCACAAATTGGGCCAATCAAAAAGAAGGGTTTGCGCCATGTTCGAAACATGGGATAAATTTACTGAGCATTTGTTGAAAATAGCAGTATCAGGTAAGTATCTAGGAGAGATATTTTCTTAAAAAAAAGATATATTTTTAACAATTCATAACAAGACCACTGAATTGTAGTACCATGTAGTTTGCAGATATAAACCACTATTTCCCGCTATGGCTTCCACACTGTGTTTGGACGATATTTATTCAAAAATATTTGCAATTATCCTATTTTCAATAAAGGTATGTTTAACGTATGTTTCTTTGCAGAGGACTCATACAGAAAATCTGCGGACAAAAGGTAGCAGCGGTGGCCACAGTAGTAGACTGTTCGGTCTCCTGATCAGTCACCGTGTGCTGTGCGGGTTCGAGTCCCGTCCCAGGAGAAATTTTTCTCTTAGCTATGGATGTTGTGATTGTCCGTAGGTGGTAGATGGTCTCTGACTGTCGAACGCGGAGGTACCACCCGGCGGTTCTCGTAGGCGGAGCCAGACTGTGTGCATGTTGCATGCACACGTGTTCCCTCGCCAGAGTCCGTGTGGCGTCCCCCCTTTCCCATGTATCCCCCATAGCCCCACGGTGCCCAATGGGTGCTTAGGCCTCAGGCCTTCGCGGTAGTTGGAAAATAAAAAAAAAATTTTTTTCGTGCTTCGTTTTACGAAGGGTTTATTTCTAAGTTCAATGCTGATGCACCATATATAATTGCGATGTCTCTCGCGCCTGCGTGGACTCGTCGTTCGGTCAGCAAAGTAGTTGGCCCGGATTTCGTAGTAGCAGCAACGCCCAGTAGAGGGCGCAACCGATATTGTAGCGATAGACCAGGAAAATTAGTGTATAAACGTTTGAAAATTAAGATTATTTTGCGGGATAGTTAGGTGAATTAAAAGGTAAATTTTGATTGGCAAGAAATAAGCATTCTACCGTTTAATTTATGTCATTACAGATAAATTTTGTACTTCAACGGTTACTCAGACTACGACAATTCATAAATTTTATACTCATATAGGAAAACATCTCTATATTTTACTGGTACTTACCCAACCTAAAAACAGATGTCGCTACCAGGATTGTTGTCAAATTTTGACATTACATTCAACAGAAAGAAAAAAATATGTTTACAATGGAAGTTGTTGAAATCTTCACCTGATTAAAAACCGATATATCTTTTTTCTCAAGTTCCTCAGGCATTTAGGTGTGCTTTTAAATTAAATTGGTTGCAGTATTTACAGTGTAGACATGACACTTGTTTTCAATTAGTCGAATTTGAGACTGGGTTTCAAAATCGTCATTTTGATTGGTGGAATTTGTACCCTGGTCGCAAATTTTGTGCCGGGAAAAAATAGATATTTTTAGATCAACCAGGTGATGACGTATTTTTTGAGTCAACATGGACATTTTGGCCCGTTTTACATTTTTCTCTAGTTTGAGTGATTTCAGAAGAAATCAGATTTATTATTGCTTCAAAAGCGCCTAATTGGTCAGATTTTAATTCCCGCTTGTAAATAGTAAAATCGGGCCTTAGGTTCCTTTCGATACTTTAGATATATATCTACGAATATCCGATTTCCCTGGATTTCCTCAGATAAAACCGTATGATCCATTGAAAATCTCCTTGGATCCTGGATTGCCTTAGGTCTCTTTCCTTGCTTTAGATTTTCTTGAATTACCACTTTCTTTATAATAATATATCCGTGCATCTAAGCACGACCATGCGGCTAGTTATAGCTACTTGCCGTGGTATTCCGAACCCTAAGGATATAAAAAAAATCGTGCAAAGAATGCGTATAACAAATAGACACAGTAAGGCAATTCTGCAGTAAACTCGAGAAGAAAAAATGATAGATAACCTCTACAATACGTATTTCTGGTTGTTGGTCTTAGCAGGCCCAGTAGGACAGTTTTGGAAGAATGAGAGTGTACTAAATTGTTGCGTCTCCACACGTTGACAACTCCCATATTTCTAGTCAGAGGGGAAGTCGCCTCTAATCTTCCTCTCTCCAGCTCATCGACACAGGTCGGCTTGACGCTCTGAATGCCAGCGTGAAGAGGTCTGTCATTAACAAAGCTGTTTATAGGATTGCTCGTACAGGAGGTCGTTGATATATGTATAATAGAGACAGCGTTGGTACCAAGACCGATTCCTGGGGGCCACCTTCAATCTTGGATTGCCCCGGTTCTCCTACCAGTGGAATATTTGAGTCTCCTCCGTGATTAGCTGCTGAGCTAAAGCAGACGAAAATGCTGTAAAGAATATTTGTGGCATTCAAAATGCGCTAACATTTGCGCTTTAATATGAACAGACAACATCAAAACGGAATTTTGCTGTAATAAACATCCACAGCCAGCGTGCACCCGTTTATATTTTACAAATGTGAAACAGCGCAATGGATCTCGTTATTTTATCAGCGTTTCCAGCAGTTGAGCATTATATGATGTACACGCTGAATGCCGCGCAATTTCTGAGTTAGATCGGTGACGGCAACCTCGTATTATTTAGAGAACAACACTTCCATAATAAAGCAAGGCAATCAGCAGCGATGAGTTTCAGAGACTTGAAAACTAAGTTTTTGAATGCTCCGCGTCGATGTAGTAAACGGCCTATTTGTGAAGTCGAGTGTCAGTTTCACCGTTTCAGTAATGCGGATGTGCAGGAAGCAAGAATTAAAGGCCGGAAACTGTTATTAGTTCAAAGTGTTTTGGACCTTAGCCAATTATGTTTAAGTTTTGCGATAGATTTCCAGAAAGAATCAGTTTCAGCACCCCTTTTATTCATACCATATATTAGTAACTTGCATCTCGCACGATTAGTATGCCGATTATATGTCAGTTGCTTTCGCTGGAAATACACACCATGACCTTATTGCAAAAATCAATGAAGCCAGGGATGAAATGGCAGAGTGGTGCCAAGAAAGTCAAACCTTGACAAGTCTGATATTGTACATTTCTACAGAAGCGCTTGTATTCTAGCAAATCTTGAGACATTTGGAACTACGACATTTTTGGGAATAGAAATGGATGCAAAACTCAATTGACAACAACACATTGACAGTGTGTGAATAAAGTTGAATCACCCGTATTTTGCAACTCTGAAGCTTAAACTTTGTTTATCGGAATCAGCATTACTATACCCATGTCTCGTCCAAATAATAGATTTTTCTGCTTTGTCGCCTATATTCAATCATTTCGCGTAGGTATTTTCGACGCCAGGCGACTATTTCAGGTCTCTCTATCAATACTGACTTCCGATTACGCGTTTCGTAACGAAAATTAATTTCGTGCAGGGATTTCCTCATTACCTCGACGCTCATTTGGGGTATAATTTCATTTTTCTTGATCGCTGCATGTACAGCCTTGAGGGTTGGTATCTCATTCCTAAAGAAGAATGAATGTACGGTTCGCCTTAACGCCATTTTGCTATAGTCATCCAATTTAACGGCCTTTCGTCCCTTCAAATTAAACTTTGGATCAGTAGTAGCTCCAGTTTTCTTCTTTTCATGCACCACCCTGCGAATGGTCCACTCTGGAACGCCTGTCATACTTTCACAACGCGCGAGTGGATCTCCCTGCGACATAGTTCTGTTCAGATAATTGAACACGTTGCGCATGATTTCTTTCGCGTCCTTCTTCAGTGCTTTACGAAGCCGTCTACTTGTTTCCTGGCTTTCAGTACTTCCACTCGTGCCATTTGTACTCTCCATGGTTAAGTATAACCAAAACAGTAACCACAGAAACCACAACAATAACAATCACACAACAATTCTTATAAAAATACAAAATATGCGATCGCTCAACGAAACACGTTCTAATGCGTTGCCGACGCCTATGAGTCTGCCGGTCGAGGCGCGTCTTTGATTTCATTGTTTCTACCGGCGGAGAACAATCAGCCATTATTTCCATCTCTGTCTGTGCTGTTGACCACGACAAAGCCACAGAAACGACATATGTCGTACGCTATACGGCTGTACTGGAAGGAAGCCGGGATCGAGCTCTGATCACGTGTTGATCACGCGTATGAGTCATTACAGTTTTAAATAGTTGTAGTATAGATGTGTTATTCTCGCGTTTACTACGTATTTGGGGTCGATCAGATTTCTAGAGCATTTGTACAGCAGGAGAGAATAATTACGAGGTGAGAGTCCGATTATTCCAAAGCATTCAATGAAACTGTTTGAAAAGTCGCCACAATACACCTGCATTATGATATATAACAAACTTCCAGCTAATCTCAGGAATGCAAGTGTTGTTGCTAGTTTTGAACTTCTTAGAAAATTATTGATTGAAAACTGTACGCCTTTCTGTTTTGTAAATAACTTAAAGTTGTTCCTGTTGTACTGTTTTGCAAATACTCGAGTTTTTTGGTTTTTTTTTTAGATATGTGTGCTATCTACCTCTTCTTCGGACGAGTCTTATGTCATTTGTATGATCTGAAAGACAATAAGCTTGGCTTGACTTGGGTTTTATCTAATTTTTATTACTATGAGAAAACGTTAAGAAACTGTTTGAACATAATTTATAAGCCTTAAGAAGCGATTGCGATACGGATGATGTTGAAGTTCGCAGATTTTCTAATTCCTTTTACTCGATAAATGATATTGTTTTGACTGTAAATTGATACCAAAAAACATCTAAAATGCTACCAAAGGCCAAATTTGTTGTTCCGGGACTGACATTGCCGTAGGAAGTGTATAGAGATCCGACAAAGTGAACAGAGATACGACAATCTATACACTTATTTTATATTAATGTGCTAGGTTTAAATATTTAGATGTACCGTAAATGTGCAAAAGGAAGTATGCAATTATCTTACATATAAACATAACCACACGTAGCAGCTGTCCTTCAATTTTAGGATATCCTCCCCTTTCAAACGCATTTCAGGTTATCTGGGGCTGTGAAGTCTTATCTGATTTTTATTATAGACACCAATATTATACGTCATTTCATTGAAAACCTTCGTCTCTACCACATAATAAGGCCATAAAGAGTATGCCTATTTTACATTTTACGTTTAAAGCTAAGTAACTCAAAACGTTTAACGCCTTCATCAAAACATCAACACAACTGTTTAAAAATCAAATATAAAAATTCCGTAACCATCCGTACCTCAATCGTATTTTCAAACATCACATGTTGTCTTACATATATCATAGCCGTTATTTGGTGATCCATGAGTCGGAACCATCTATTATACTTAGGCTCCTAAAAGGAAGATAGCAGCAAAACATATCGCACGTTCCGCCACCGCAGCATCTCTTTGAATACGGCAGGATACGTTTGCACCGGCTTTGTCAATTCAAAGGCTCCTTGAGGCAGCAGTAGCGTGCGGTGTGATTTGCTGTTCTCTTCCTTTTCGGTACGAGCCTATAGTCGATAGACCGCGCCACTTGTCTATGCCGCTGGATTTTGCTAACAGATAAGTTAGTTAA